TTTTGCAGTTTACTGCCACCTCCAGTATATGGAGCCGGCACCCTACTCCTTTGAGCCACAGGTACCACCCACCTTCCTCAATCTTAATTGCAACCTTTTGACTGAATACAAATTTCTTTATTTTTTTTTACTGAATCCAAATTTTATAGAACAAATCCTTTTATTAAAAGCGATGCAGCAGAGAAAGACAAATCTTTTCTTGCCTCTTTTGGTGCTTAAAAAAGAATGATCTTGAAATCAGAAGGCTGTAAGTTCCCCATCCCAGCCAGCAACAGAAAAATTTTACAAGGGATTTTGACTGATGAGTCAAATCAGATGATCAGTCTCTATGGTTCCTCCTGGCTGTGTCTACTCCTGTGCCAACCTATGGGCATGCATATTGAGCATGTGTGGAATATGAGATAGAGAGAGATATTATGTTTGGGGCCCAAACAGCATCCTGCATCCAGAGGGCCTTGCTCTGACTGCCAGTCCTCCAGAAGCTTTAAAAGGAGGAGATGGTGGGTGGTACCTGTGGCTCAGTGGGTAGGGCGCTGGCCCCATATACTGAGGGTAGCAGGTTCAAAGCCAGCCCTGGCCAAACTACAACAAAAAAATAGCTGGGCATTAGCCCTATGGTCCCAGCTACTCGGGAGGCTGAAGCAAGAGAATTGCCCAGGAGTTGGAGGTTGCTGTGAGCTGTGTGATGCCACAGCACTCTACCAAGGATGATAAAGTGAGATTCGGTCTCTACACACACACACCAAAAAAAAAAAAAAAGGAGGAGATGGCAGGGGCCCATGTCCCAGCATTCTGTCATCACATTATGGCTGGGAAGACCCAATGTTGCACTATAAGAGCTAAAAAGAAAAGCAGAAGAGAAACAGGAGCTGCTGGCAGCCAGGGGTTCACACAAAGTGCTCTCTGCAGGAATGTGGCAGACAGTGCAAAATGTTTATTTTGAAAAAATGGAGAGACATACGTATCTGATGTACTTCTGCATGACCTCCTCCAGAGGCCGTAGACCCTCCTTGAGGAAAATAGATGGATTCCACATGGCTGCTCGGGCCACCATCACTGAAGAGGCTGCCGTAGCTTGTCGAAAGTCCTCTATGTCCAAATACTGTTGGATGTGGTCATGAGATCCTCCACTGAAAAGCAATAGAATTAGGGATGTCTCCATCTTGGAACCTACCAGCATTTTCAATTAAAGGCAAATCCTAAATCTTCTACTCATTAACAGCATAGCTTTGGCTATCAGTGCTTTAGTAAATTAGAGGACACAATGCATACCTCCATTATTAAGTGAGGAGCACTAAGTGAGATAATACATATAAAAGTTATTAGTTGACATGTTAACAGTATTCCAGAAACTTTACTTTCCCTCCCCTCATCTAAAACAGTGTCTAAAGCCCGGCCACATCTGAAGACAGAGGTCTATAACTGGGGTATTGGGGCCACAGGAAAACTCTGAAGCTCAGTAGGCAACCAACCTATCTACTAAAAACTGAGTCAAAACCCTAAAGAGGGAAGAGGCACTTGGTGATCACAAGAGGAAGGAAAGAGGCCCAGTTAGGTCACAATTTCCCCTCCCTTCTCCCCGCTGCTCCAAGTACCCCCTCATGTGTTTCATCAAGGGTCAGGTGGCAACCTCAGTCCAGAGACAGCCATGCAGACAAGGAGGGCCCTCAGATGGCAACAGAAGCAACAGGGGGATCCAATCTTAAGTAGCCCTGCTCGCTCCAAGCCACTCCCAAAACTCTTTGCTCCAGGGAAGGTGGGGCCTGGCTAGTATCCTACCTGCTTAGTTCCTTCCTCCCCCCGATTCAGGCATGCCTTTTGTCAAGGTTGCCCTCTTCCCAACTCTCTCAGGCTCTGTGCTGTCCTAAGGTGCCTAGATAGCCTCACTTCCCAGTGGTGACTGGATACGGTCTTTGAGCTGCATCTTCAGGACTTGACACTGGTCAGACTAGGTTCCTGTAGTGGCCCGGATTTCATGTGGGCTTCTGTGAGATGCCTATGCTCACCAAGCCATGGTACTTTGAGCTTTGGTCTGGCACTCCTCACATAGCTCCCTACACTCTGCACGCCTAACTCTGGGTGCAACATCATCTTCCCCTAGGCCTGCTTCAGTGGCCACCTACTTGCTCTCTCCCTGCCCTGAACACTCCCATCCCCACCCTGTCTAGCACAATGACCCAGGCCTGCCCACTACACCCCTGCATCAGCCTCTTACCAGAGGCAAATCGGCCTGACTTAAACTGTAGACGCTTTTCAGCCTCATTCCCACCTTCATTTTTCATCCCATCCTTTTTCTCTTTTCCCTTATGGTCATTTTTGAATGCTATCTCATTTCACTTTCTTGTATGCCAGCTCGAGTCCCTTCTGAATGAGGCAGGACATAAACAAAAGATGAAGGAGGGAGGCTTACTTGGCTATGACAGGAATAGAAAGGGCATCAGCAATGGCTTTGATGACATCACAGCTGACAGGATGCTGAGGCCGCTCCTCCCGCTTCCTTGGAGATAAAGAGATGGGGCTGAAGGCTGAGCACCAAAGGACAGAGTTACCTCAGCCAAACCCTGCTGTCCTCCCTACTGAACCTCAAAAAGGTCAGGTGGCCATATGGCCACCAAGGACAGGCTACAGGGGCTGGCCTCTGGGAAAGGACTCTACTATGAGGGCTAGGAGCAGTACAAGTCCACACTGAGAAGGCCAGCCCAGCTCTTGGAGGCCTGCAGAGGAGGCATGGCTGCGGGGGGCCATGTGGGCAGCCTGCCTCCCAAAGTCAGGCTGCTTTTCCCTGACTTCCTCTCGCCTCTGCCAGAGATGATGGACAGTGCCATAAGAATGTTGCCCCTACTGCCCCAGTCCTGCCCTCTCCAAGGGACCAAGAACAGCTGCTGCTGCACAGACTGGCCACTCCCATGCAGCTGTCTATGCCAAGGCCAAGTTGTACAGCTGATCCTGGTGAGAGGCACCTGACACAGAATAGGCCCCGTGCCCAGGGCAGCATGACAAGCCACAGACCATGGCTGACAGGAGAAGCCACAAGGACGACAGGACTACTACTTGAGACCCTTCCTTCCAAAGTCAACTGCAAGAAGTATTTTTTTTTTTTTTTGAGACAGAGTGTCACTATGTCGCCCTTGGTAGAGTGCCATGGCATCACAGCTCCCAGCCTCCCAAATAGCTGGGACTATAGGCACCTACCACCACACCCGGCCATTTTTTGTTGTAGTTGTCATTGTTGTCTTTAGCAAACCCGAGCTGGGTTCAAACCCTCCTTCCTCAGTGTATGTGGCTGGTACCCTAAACTCTGAGCTATGGGCACCAAGCCCTGCAAGAGGTATTTATGAATGAGTAAATCTTAGGGATGCTGAGGCAAGGCCTGAACCTGAACTATGGTCAGAGACAAGAAGGAGAGATGGTTGATCAGACAGCCTTTGCCCAGGTCTCATCTGAGTATGTCCCCCAACTATGCTCCTCAACAAAAGGGTCAAGGGCCACAGGATTTATATTTATAGTTTCATAAAAGCCTCAAGACAACTCTATAAGACAGAAATTATCTTTATTTCCAAATGAGGAATGTAGCAATCAGAGAAGTTAAGTGATTTTCCCAAGGATACAAAGCTAACAAGC